ACCGTCCCTTGCCGGCCCCCTGGCCGTCGCGCCCATCCCTAGCCGGCCCCCTGGCCATCGCGCCCGTCCCTAGCTGGCCCCCTGGCCGTTCGCGCCCGTCCCTAGCCGGCCCCCTGGCCGTTCGCGACCGTTCCTAGCCGGCCTCCTGGCCGTTCGCGACCGTCCCTAGCCGGCCCCCTGTCGCCGCGTCCGTCCCTAGCCGGCCCCATGGCCGTCGTGCCCGTCCCCAGCAGGCCCCCAGGCCGTTCGCGCCCGTCCCTAGCTGCCCCCCTGGCCGTCGCGCTCGCCCCTAGCCGGCCCCCTGGCCGTTCGCGACCGTCCCTAGCCGGGCCCCTGGCCGTCGCGCCCGTCCCTAGCCGCCCCCCTGGCCGTCGCGCCCGTCCCTAGCCGGCCCCCTGGCCGTCGCGCCCGTCCATAGCCGGCCCCCTGGCCGTCGAGGTCGCCCCTAGCTGCCGTCGCAGCCGCCCCCAGCCAGCTCACGGCCGCCCCTCGCTGTCGCGGCCGCCCCTAGCCGCCGTCGCCGTCGTCTCCAGCCGCCCCACGGTCGCCCCTGCCGTCGCGGCCGCCCCTAGCTGCCGTCGCGGCCGTTTCCAGCCAGCTCACGGCCGCCCCTCGCCGCCGCGACCGCCCCTAGCCGCCGTCGCTGCCGTCTCCAGCCGCCCCACGGTCGCTCCAGCCGTCGCGGCCGCCCCTAGCCGCTGTCGCGTCTGTCCCTGGCCGCTGTCGCGGCTATAGAGGGTACAACACCCCTCCTTATATCCCTCTCTCTTCTATTCTCGCTCTCTTCTCTCTCGTAACTTTCTCCTAGGTAAACCCCTCACTCCATGTCATTACCCTAGTCTCGTGACATGGTAACAGAGCAGGTTGCCCATCCGGGGCCTGCTCCTCACGCTTCCGCCGCGTAGTCTAACTTCTGCCGTCTTCATTTTCGCTACTTTCGTGCCATTGTCGCGTCGCGCTGCAGTGACGGCGTCGCGGTGCTGCCGTCGCAGCCCCAATGCGTGGCGTCGACTCCACACCGCAATGACGGCGTCGTACTGCCGTCGCAGCTTCGTCATGCCACCGCGTTGTAGCGGCGTCGTAATGCTATAGCTACAGCGTTGTCGGGTGCCAGTCGGCCGCGCAACGTCTGAGGCACCGCTAGTCCTGACGCCCGCAGTGTTGAGAATAGCACTGATCCTGCGAAGGTTGCAGAAGTCTGCGGAAGCGGCATATCAACGAAGTCTACGGACACAAGCCCTGAAGAAAGGCCCATCGATGAAGAGTAGATTTGTCGACAAGGCGAGGCTCTGCGGGAAATGGCAGGGGAGCTGTTTTCATTGGTGGCAGAAAAGCAGTTCTGTTGGAGTGGCAGAACAGGAGCACGTTTTCTGCAGATGGCTTCTACAGACTTCTGTGCTTTTGTACAAGCGGTCTTGGCAGAAACGAGAATGTACAAGACCCTCTGCCGATTCGGCACCAGGAGCCATTCGCAGAAGAGTTGTCCCCTGCAGAAGTATCGCGCAGAAGACATTTCTACGGGCGACCCTTTCGGCAGAAGCGACTCTCGGAAATGTGTTCCAACAAGACCTCGGGCAGAGTGGCGCAAGAACCTGTTCACGCAGAATTGCAATCTGCCGAAGTTCGGCAGTAAAAGGCAATTCGGATATCTCTTCTGTTGACGACCCCCTCAGCAGAAACGAAATTCGGCAAAAGCGCGGCAGAGAGTCATCTCGGACTTCGCTTCTGCGAGCGATCCCTTCGACAGAAAAACGAGGATCTCGAGATCGCGAGAAATGTGTGATTTCGTAAGTTAACCTCAGAACCGATCTGGACCGAAAACGGCAAAATCTGCCTGCAACATTGAGAAATTGAACACGTGACTTACATTTCGTAACTACGGAAATGTGCGTAACATTTGACAGTTTCCTATCTGAAATTGTTAGAATAACTACTACTACGTGGGTAAAAATTACCAACTAAGCATGTGCTGTAATTTTCACCTGCCATTGCTGACTTGGCTAAGCGCAGCTTAGAGTAGTTATGTAAACATTCCTGTGCAAACGTTCTTGCCGTGTTCAATGGGGTAGTACTAGTGTTTGCCTTGTGTACCATACTTTGTAATCTTGATTCTAATGAATTTGTGTGCCCAAGATTTCTCAAAAGCTACTCAGTAAGACAGACAATTTTGAATGCAACTTTCTCCTTAGAGAACGACAGAGCTAGAGAGCTCTATCTGCGTCAGGCACTTCCGCAGAAGCTCCCGTTATAGAAGTAAACTCTGCACGCACGCCAGCCACGGGCGTGATGCGTGATGCGGGACCCCCCCCCCCCCCCCCCCTTTCCCCTGCTTCCCCTCTTCCTCGCCGCAGCCGGCGGCTGACTCCCGCCGTCGTCCCATCGCCGCGGAGCACGGCCACACCGCCAAGTGCTGCGAGCTCCTCCGCCGCCGCCGCCGCCGCCGCTTGCGTTGGGGCCACGCCGCCGCCGCTGTCGACGCTGCCGCCGTCGCCGCCGCAGCCCTTGCGGTCGACGTCGCCACCTCCCGCGCCAAGGGGTTGATCGGGCTGGGGTATCCGTCACTGCTACTGAGTATGGGGTTGCTAGGTTAGGGGTTGTGGGTGTGTGTGGGCTTGCCACTACCAAGCCTAGGGGGTGTGTTAAATTATATGTGTTATATAATTGTAGGCGGGTAACATCGACTGAAACCTACCGTACAGGGTATAATACCCCTCTTTGTATCCCTCTCTCTTCTATTCTCGCTCTCTTTTCTCTTGTACCTTTCTCCTAGCTAAACCCCTCACGCCATCTTATGGCTTCCTAGCTACCCTAGTCTCGTGACAGGCATGTGTGCTCCGCACCAATTTTTTAGCCACACGTCTCAACTTTGCAGAGTCGTGTGCTCCAGGCCTAGCTATATTATGGCTCTCAGTTGCTTGACGTTGTGCAATTGTATTATTTTCCTCGTTACTACCAATATTCGACCCTCGCTGCTTGCATCACATAACTCAATTGCATTGGTACACGAGACCTGCATGTGATTACATACCAGTCTTACGGAATAGTCAACCTATAGGTAGGCAAGATTAGTATGGAAGCCAGGCAGGCTAAGATGTTTTCCCATGTGCTGATAAATACGTAGTACCTTGGCCTGCAATCAGAGGGCCAGCTTCCATGGACCACCACACGATTGTCTGGGGCGGGGAGACTGTCCACGAAAACGACCAACATCCCTGTTGTTCTTTCTCGCCCACTGCTGCAGTGCATCGGCTGCTGACGCCAGCTGGACAACTCGTCGAACGTCTTGGGACGGGACCGGTGCAACTCGTATTGAATATCGAAATGCAGCCCGCTAACGTATTTGTCCCGTCTTTCCGCTTCGCTGAGGTCGTCGACTTGGTCCGCAAGTGCCGAGAACGACGCAGTGTAATCTTGAACAGTAGTCACCTGCCGCCAGTTGCGCAGCTTCATGCGAGCGTCGTCTGAGGCGGATGAATGCTCAAAACGAGCTCGCAGAGCTGTGCCCCACTGTTTCCACGTGCGAAACGTGGTCGTACCGAATATTGTTTCTGCCGTTGGTTTGAAGAGTCCGAAGTCCCGTCCTTCGCCTGCTTCACTCTTGCGGAGTCCCAATCGCCAACTGTCGTCGCCACCAATCCAACGCCGGTCCTCGGAGCAGCGACACGGCATAATTAATGCGCGCGTCATCCGTGTGCACACTTGCCGCCGTGAAGAACAGCTCCATGCTGAACAGCCACCCTTGCACCGTCGTCGCCTTGTCCGAAGGGTTGAACGGGGGCGGTGTTGCTGGCTTGAGTTTAATATTCGTTATAGTCACAGAGCGCACGTCAACCTGCTCCAACTCCCGTGCGAGCTCGTCAAGGACGGTTTCGCTCGCTGCGTCGTCGGCACCTTGCTTGACCCCGTCTTCGGCGTTCTCCGTCCGAAGTCTCACGACTTCACTGTTCAAACTCGCCTTTTGGGCCTGCATTGCCTGCATCTGAGCCATGACCTTGTCTAGCTGGGCCTGGGACATGATGCGAATGCTACGCCTTTCGGGCAGGGGGAAGGCCGTGGTAAGAAACCGTAGGGGGCGCAAACGCTATCGTAGTTGTGTGAGTTAATAACTCTAGCTCACGGACAACCGCTTTGCAGCCCCACAGGGTTAACCACGCCTTGGAAATAAATAACCCTGAGAAATCAGGGTGAACCAGGAAAGTAGCTCTGATACCAGATGTTATGAATAATAACTGAGTGCGCGGAATAATAATCACGAGTACAAGAATGCTAGCCTAGCATTATATAGCGAGAGTTCTAGCTAGGCGACGAAGCCGGAGGGCTAGGTTGGGTACAGGCGCGGTCGAAAGGTTCGGAGGCGGCGTGGGCGTGCCTCGGTGTCGCGTCCGAAACGGACCGAGCCTGGTGTTCCGAGAGTTCGGGTGTACGCGATTGCAGTACAACCCGGTAAGGAATAAAATTCCTTACACAAGCGCCCCGCTGGATCATGCGACCAGCCCAATGGCTTGGCGGCTGGAAGTCCGATAATCAAGCTGATCGCGACAGTGCCGTACGAGCACGTTCGGGGGTCCGAGGGCAGCGGCTAAAAGGTTTGCAGAGCATGAAATTGAAATCCCTCCCACGTAGCCCTTCAATTGGAGAGCATTCGAAATTTTCGGCTGCTGGCGAGTTCTCCTTCACACAACATTTGTTTTCTCCTGCTTTACCGGGGGTTTCCGAACGTCGCGAAGTTTTCGTGACGAAGCGAAATCCCAGTCGTGGCACGAACAGCCGTTGCGGTGTTCGCCTCCAGTCGCACCCAGGGCTGGTTGCTCACTTTGGTGGAGCCTCGCCCAGCCCAGCACAGCAGGTACAGTAGCACCTCTGAATGTTGCAATTTCCGTAGCGCGCTCCCGCGGCGCTGTCCCTTTCGCTCGTTCACCCCTCTGAAATTTCCACAGTCGCCGACACCATGCGCTCCACATGTAAAAGCCACCAGTAGCCGCAGGTTTTCTCAAGCACAGATTCACTCAACTCACAAGCATACAGCCCCCTCACTCTCAGCTCGGCCTTCAAGGCCTCATCGAGCCTCCTATATTATTCGAACGCCCAGCATCCCGACTCCTTCATTTCAGACAACATCTTCCATCGCCAAGGCGTTAGTTTTCCCGTTGTCGCCCTCGCCGACTATTAGCCATCCCCGGGAATAGATGGCTGCCAACATGAGCCACGTGTTCCTTCTGGCGGTGTTTGTCTTGCTTGCGGGAGTTGCGGCAGCAGTCCCGGCACAACAATCCAGCGTACGTTTGCTTACTTGCAACCTTCTCAACTTCGTACCGGTCAAGTTGCGCGTATTGTAAAGCTTGTAAGGTCTTCAATGACATCAAGCCATTTATTTTTCTCCTCACGTCCCGCTCCTGTTTTTATTCCTACCGATTTTCGAAACCTTGCTTTGCTTTTCTCCAGCGTCTGCGAGGCCGGTCGTTGGCTGCTTTCAACGCTTTGGAGAAGAACCTGACACGGGTAAGCTCTCCTTCATATAGCACGGTCAAGATTTCTTATCCGTCACCTTGTCGCGTCGTAAATCAGTCCGAGTGTTTCAAAATCTCACAAATCAATTGCTGCCACGTCGCTTGTTTCCCGTCTCCAAGCGCCCTCCTTTCCAACCATGTTTCTCTAACGTCACCATCATCGTTGCTTCTCCCACACGCCTCTACAGCCGGTCAACCACCCCCGTGACGATCAGAACAACAACGGCGACGGGTCAGGATCAGACACCAGCAGCAGCGGCAGCCGCGACGACGGTTCAACCTCCACCACCGACCAGGAAGCCGCAGACGAGACCGACGCGGCGACAAGCACCGACAGCAGCGAAAACGGCTTCGATCACTCGCAGCGCGGCGGGAATTCCGTTGGCCAATCGCAGTCCGACCACTCCGGCACGAGGGCGGATCCCAGTCAGCCGTCCCCTCCGCCGTCCGAGGGGTGCCCGCCGTCCCCGTCCATGTGCAGCTTCGTGTTCCAGGGCTACGAAGACTCGATCCCCGTATTCGAACTTCCCAAGGGCGCCGACGTGCCGATCGGCCCGCCCGTGGAAGGCGGCGTGAAGGGGAGCTCGATCGTGGTGCGCACGCTCAACTCGAAGCAAGTGGAGTTCCTGTGCACGAAGAAGACGGGCATGGAGAAGCTTAAGGACCAGTTCTACGCCGTCAACGATGTGAGCCTTGCAGCATTCATTCGCTTCGGTTACTTTGCATTTGCACTCTCCCCCTCTGTCACTCCTTTCTCGGTGCTCGCCTAGTGCCTCCCACGTCAGCTCCTTACAGCGAATCTTCCCTCTGGGATCGCCGTCCCACGCGCCTGCTCCTAGTTTGCGTGTGCGTTCTCCACCGCGTTGGTGTCTCACTTTTCGCTTGTGTGCCTCCTTCCCCCCTTCCCCTTCCCCTTCCCTCCCCCCCCCGGCGGTTCGCTCGCTCCAGGTGATCCAAATGCGCACCATTCAGAAGGGCGATGAGGAGAAGCTGCGCGGCGAGATCGTCAAGGTGGATATTAGCGGCGCGGCGCTGGACGTGTACAACCAGCTGTTCAACCTCAACCCTGGCGATGGCTCATCGTCCTTCCCCGAGGAGAAGCGCTGCGTCGTGTTCCAAATCGCCGCCTGAGGCGCACGCACCGCACCCACTGCACGCACAATGATAATAGCGTGATAATAATACCATGAAAAAAAACAGTGGGCTGCCTGGCTGAGCACCGGCAGGACCCCTAGTCTGGAGAAGATAGGGGGAGGGGAGGGGGGTAGGAGGGAGTTAGTCAGCTAAGGATCCTACTCTTAATTCGTACTCTGATAGCCCCCCAATGGTGTGTTACACACGTACTAGGGAAAGCAGGCTAGATTTAGAGTCGGGAGGATTATACTTGGTATTTGTAGCTCTCACTCGTTCGTCCGTTCCATTCATATGCAATAAGAAATATTGTTGGTATATGAAGAATCAAAAGCGTTCATACAGAAGCATTGTATCCCCTGGCAACTCGCCCACCCCAGCGACCGAGGCGGGTCTCTTCAGAGGAGACCTGTTCTCGCAGCACTTCGCCACGAAATTCTGGTGGATGGAAACCCTAAAATTCGGGATGCATCTTCAGTTCGGAGACACCAGAATTTTCCCGCCCTCCCTTGCCTCGCTATCTCCTGCAGCCACCAGCAGCCATGCTACAGCAGCCGCCAGCAGCCAGCACCGCTGAAAGGGTCGGCCGTTGCACGCACAGGCTTCGCCTCCTTTCCCAGCGCCATAGCCTGCACCCCTCAATCACCGCTCCGTAGCGAATCTGCGCATGGGTGGAGACGATCGAACGGCTGGAATCACCCCTGCTACTCCGCTGCTCGATTCCAGCAGCGGCGATACCAGCAGCAGCAGCAGCTATACACCACCGGCCTCCACTGCAACCGCCGCCGCAACCTCCGCCGCAACCGCCGGCGTGCCCTTCTCCTCCTCGCTGCGCTTGCCCCGCCTGCAGTCTTTAATTCTGCTCTCCGTCGTCGCCTACGCCGCCGTGATCGGCTTCTCGCTCTCCGTGTCTCTTAATCTCCCCGCCACTACCGCGCAGCTCGACGCGTCGTCCAGTAGCGGTCACGTGGATGCCTCTGGCGCAGATGGCGGCGGCATTGGCGGCGGCAACGGCGGCAGCGTGAGTCGCGGGAGAAATGCGATTACCATCGGGGGAGTCTTCTGGGAGCCATGGCGGCTGTTTTCCTCGGGAGGAGAGGGGACGGCAGGCCTGTTCTCTGCAGCGTCCCGAGAATCCGCTGATGGATACCATGAGAAAGAGAACGAGGATTTTTGGGGCGAGGGGAGCAGGCGGTGGGGGAAGGCGGGCGCACGAGAAGGCGGGTTGGCGCGTGGGGATGGCCAGGGGGAACGGGGGGAAGCTGGGGATGGGGGAAAAGGGGGGGGCGCGGCAGGTGCTGCAGGGGAATCGGGCGCAGCGGAAGCATGGGGCAGGGGGAGCGGCAAAGGTGGTTGGCTAGGGGGAGGAGCAGCTGGGGGGGACGGAGTTGCGGAGGATGATGGCACTGGGGGGGCGCATGGGGGCATGCAAAGGAGCAGGCAGGCATGGGGGAAATCAGGGGAGGAAGGAGGGGGGAGCGACGAGCAGAGCATGCTGCAGCAGCTGCTGGCGCTGGCGGAGGATGAGAGTGGGGGGGGGGAGAGGGAGGGGGAGGTGGTGGACGAGGAGGAGGAGAGGCTGAGAGCGAGGGAGGAGGAGGAGAGGGAGAAGGAGAATGAGCTGGAGCCGCTCAAGGTGTTCCTGCTGCCGCTGATACCCGAGTACAACTTCGGAATGCTGCAGGTGGGAGCCTCGCTCGTGGCACTGCCTGCTGCCCGAATCCATAATCGCAGGATCTTTATTTCTTTAGAGCTCTCAAAAAAGGCCCTGCAGCTCAAGGTGCTCCTGCTGCCGCTGACACCAGAGTATATCTTAACTTCGGAATGCTGCACGTGAGTCCTGTGACCTGTCCTGTCACGTGAATCGGAGCACGGCCACACGAATCCCCAAAACGCTAGACTGTTGGGGTGAATCCCCAGAGAGATCTGTCGTGGTGAAAAGTCGCGTGGGGCAGTCGGAAGTGTTAAGTGGAAGTGGTGTGTGGAAGTGGCATGTGGAAGAGGCGTGTGGAAGTGGCGTGTGGAAGTGGCGTGTGGAAGTGGCGTGTGGAAGTGGCGTGTGGAAGTGGCGTGTGGAAGTGGCGTGTGGAAGTGGCGTGTGGAAGTGGCGTGTGGAAGTGGCGTGTGGAAGTGGCGTGTGGAAGTGGCGTGTGGAAGTGGCGTGTGGAAGTGGCGTGTGGAAGTGGCGTGTGGAAGTGGCGTGTGGTACCCCTCACCCTGATACCGCTCTCCGTGAAACCAACACCCTCTTGATCCTTGCCTTTGCACCCCAACCTTGCTCGTTAGTCGTGCCGCATGCTTCTTCCCTACCTTCCTTGCCTTCCCTGCTTTCCCTGCCTACCTTCCCTGCCTTCTCCTACTAGTCCGAGCAAGCCCACTCACATGCATGCTCTTCTCCCCTCTCCCTCCCTTGCCACAGCAATTCGCGGATCAAGGCCTCTGGCACAACATCCACCTGCCACGTGGCATGCCTGCCTCCTGGCTGCCGTTCGCCCCCTCTCCTCCGGCCTCTCCCGATTTCCCCGCTTCCCCCGCCCCCCCCTCCTCTCCCTTTACTTCTTCCCCCCTCTCGTCCTCTACCTCCTCCTCCTCTCGTCTTCTTCCCTCCCATCCCCCCTCCTCGTCTGGTTCTCCAGCCAACGTGCCTCCCCTCCCTCCCCTGAACACTCCTGCTCTCGCTCTTCCTGCTGCTGCTGCTGATGGTGGTGGTGATGGTGGTGGCAATGGTAGTGTTAGCAGTGGTGGAAGTATGGGAGTGGCAGGCTCAGCTGTGGTTGTGACTGAGTCGGGGAGTAAAGGTGGGCGGAATAAAGAGGAGGAGGAAGAGGAGGAAGAGAAAGGGGAGAAGGGGGAGAAGGGGGAGGAGGAGAAGGAGGAAGGGGAAGTGGGAAGAAGAGAAGCTGCAAGGAGGAGGAGAAGGTTGCTTGGTGGCGGTGGTGGTGGCGGTGGCGGCAGTGGTGGTGGAGTGGTGCGCCAGGAGGACAGGGGAGAAGCAGGGCGGGGTGTGGGAGTGACACAAGGCAGAAGAGATGCTAGTGGAGGTGCTGGAGCCAGTGTTGGTGCTGGCGACTTGTCACACAGCTCGATCATTGACAGGGGGGCATGGGTGCGGGGAGGCAGCACGGTCAGCATAGCGCGCTACTCCGCGCTGCCCTACGAGCTGCAGCACAGCGCAGAGTACTGGCTCACTCTCTCGCTCCTCTCAGGCAAGCGCTCCTCTCAGGCAAGCGTGCTCGCTCTCTCGAATTGTCCCATACCCTCTTCCCCTCCCTCTCTTTCCCCTCCCTCTCTCCCCTCTCCGCCCCACCTTCACTTTCTCCTCCCCCCCCTTCCCCAACCCCCCGCTTTGTCTGTCTGCCTGC